TAACTTGTCTGAAACGCAATTAAAAAACTTAAAAGCTTGGATCCAACCGGTACCTCTGTCTTTCATTGTGCTCCAAGATAATTTGGACTGTTTCATTTGAAAGATTAAATACTTGTGGTATCCAAGTAACGTTCTCCATTCAACTAGAATAAATCTTCACTAGTCACAGGTTGCCAAGCTGCATTAGCATCCAAATTACTATGGTATTATTAGAATTTCTTTCTGCAATTATGATGCATGGCTGATCTTTCTGTGTACACAGATGTGGAAGGGACCTATGAAGTTATTGTATCCTTATGTTCTATCTGTATTCACATTAAGTGAAAAGAAAGAGTTGAATTAACGATAAGCCTTTAAAGAGCATAAAGTTAGACTCTGACCAATGTCAATAGTGATAATTGTGACCATACTACATCCCCCCCCCGAATGAAATAAAAAAAGGTGTACTGGTTTAGCAACTTGACAAATCGTGTCCTCCTCACAGAGGGCACGTGTTGCGGTGATATCAACGTGACTGACCCAAGGTTGTGGGTGGGGTTGTTTGGATAGCCACAACGCCCAATTGGTGGTCCCTCGTCGCTGGGTTCAATTTGGCCAATGGGAAAGAAGGCAAATGGTTCGAGGGACCTATTTATACCCATGCACGTGTCACAGAGCTTCCTCTTTTCGCTCGTGCATCAGAACACCCGCCCACTTCTCCCTATATTTAGGGTTTTTTCAGCAACTGACCTTGCTATGCTGTCGTGTGTCATCTGTCATTGGGACAGGGGCACAGTAGGAATTTTCCCACTTGGCTGATTGGCTGTGGCCATTTGGGTTTCGCCTGCCACGTAGCAAATCGTCACAACTTGTAAGGTTGCAGATAGGCTCTGGTTCAGGTGATAGGGATGGAAGGACGGTCTCGCCGCCACTATGTGAAGGGCATTCCGTTAAGGGAATCCAGGGACTCAACTTGGTTTGGTCAACCCCCAAAAGGGGGTTGTGCCCATGCCTGAGTCCAGGGGAGCATCTGGGGAGAGAACAGAGTCTGTTCCCAGGCTTTTCACCTGCCTCAGGTGTTCACCCTTGGCTGACCTATGATAGAGCTCTGGGTCAGCGCTACCTGCAACGGTGTAGGGAATTAGTCGAACCAGAGCCTATGCAACCACTCACTTATCTGTAATCAATAAAGTTGTGGCCTAAATTCTGCCAAAAAACAGAACAAAAATTTGAGTTGAATGTGTCTTTATTTATTGGGGAGGTCTCGGGATCTGAACACGCAATACCTAATTAGTTTCCTAATTAACAGTTATATGATAAGACCAATAACTACTGAAACTAGTTCGCTCTTCTGTCTTGAAATAAATTATCCAAGCCTATTCGTCTGAATACGGATATGGAATAATCCCAAGGTTTTAGCAACAAACACCTGTCTTCCTAAAGTTTCCCCCACCAGCCAACACCATGCTAGTAACAAATCCATCAGATCTTTCCTTTTTTGTTTTATTTGTGCTAGATTTATATCCAGTGAAAGCAGTAACACACACTATAAATTCAGTATTTATAATCTTAAGAAGCCTTATATCTTAAGTAGGATGACATTTAAAGGCTGAGATCTCCTACAGTACATTCAGAGTATTTTCAGGAATTTAACGGATACCAATCCATAAAACTTCTTATAGTCATAAGAACTGTACTTATTCAGCTCAGCTCATGAATACACTAAGACAGGGTATTTGGAGTGCAGCCATTTTAGTCTCACTGAAGATAAGCTATTTAAGCCCCGGTGCTTTAATTTAAAACAATTTGCACCCATTGAAGTCAATGCAATTAGAATGGCTAAAATCCAAGTGTCAACTGTAACTATTTCATGGATCACAGTTGCAGTGCATTAATTTAATTATGTATTGCTCTTATTTTCTATATTTAGAGTGCAACATATTTTACATTCTCCCTTTCAAGGACACAACGAAAAGCACACACACCATAATTTTGTAAGAGTCTGGTGAACTAGGATTCATTCACAGACAGTTTTGACCCCAACCATTCTCTGTAGGTTTTCAAAGATAACTGGGTGTGGGAGGGGGAGAGAGAAAATAATATTAGCTGAAGGTAATGTGAATAACATTCTGGTCTAAAAAAAATAAAAATCAGTGTCAAGTGAAAACATGCTAGTCATCAGATGTGAACACTAACATATGTGAATATTAAACCAGAGATGCAACAGGGAATCAAACCTATAAAAGTCTTGTATCTAAGAGGTTGTAGAGGTTGTTGTATAACACTGAGGTAAATCATGATTTGAAATGAACTATGAAGTGTTATGTATACAAATCTAGGTTGGGAATGCTAGTCAACTGAAAAGTCATTATCCACACGTTTTGTCAAATATCCCTTGACACTAAGAATGACACTCTGAAAATGGCAGGCTACCTTTACATGTTTGCCTCTGACATGTTAATAGCAACTATTTGTTACTTTGCTTTATGTCTGATTTTATTCATTTTGTTAACAGTATGCTGCCCTAGCAAGAATAACCGCTTAGTGAATTGACTATAGTTACAGAAACCTTATCTAATTTTATTAAGTTATACCAATTCACTATGGTTTTTAAAATGTTACGCTCATTATTTCACCTTAATTTAATGTATACTTTAAAACATTTCAGTTTAATTTGTTCTTGTAATTAACATACGCATTGACAGTCTGTGTCTCAATTGATCTCAATCAGACTTAACTGCTGGATTACAGTCTTTCTGACTTTGGAGTACCTTTACAGCCCTTCTTCCTGTGGCAGAAGCAAAAACAGTACAAAGGGAGAAAAAAAGTCTAAATTCAGAATTTATGGTAGCTGTGAGGTGCAGCAGTGGCTTTCTCCCTCTGCCTAAATAAAATGTAACAATAAAGGCAGAAGTCCCTGCCTTTGGCATGCAGTCTGAAGCTCTATCAAACAAGTTCAGTTGCTCTAGAATTTATCATTGCTACTGGCTCAACTGTTTATAGCATCAACAACCCCTAAATTCTTCAGGTTCATAAGTCCTTAGCAGGTCATTTCAGGGTTACTTATACAAACTTATATCCTTCTAAGTAACTAGGGAGTTCCCTGACTATGCACTAATCAATATTCTAATTTGAGGTAGTCTCTTTACCACCAACCTGATAGACACTGAGCCACTTGAGTTCACTATTTGAATTATTTAAGAAAATGATGCTGATAAATATTTTATAATGACAACTTACACAGAATCTGATACACATTTTTGGTTATAAAATATATTGGTTGCAATAAAGTTAACTTCCAAATAGGGTATTACATGCATGATGGGAATAAAAGAACAGAATTCATAACAAAATCTATCTAAATCAAAATAAAATATATATTTTTATTTCATTGGTACAGAATAAATGAGTCTGCAAATGTAGAACATTCAACTCAACACTAATACATATCTAGACACTCAACACTAATACATATCTAAATCATATGCACATAATGACTTTGGTTGAACTAAAGCTGCATCTATATCTTCAGGTAGAAAAACTGAAATATATCATAAACTGAGTATACCCAACAGAGGAAAAGTTGGATAGAAATCTTTAAACTATGCAAAAATAAAGCAAGTTAACATGCCAGACAAATCAAATGCAATTCCAAAATTAGTAGACCTGTTAAGATCTTTGACTCAGAACTGCAGTGATGCAACATTATTTAAATCTAAAGGGGAGGGGGGAAACAACTAAACATACCATGGCAAAATATGATGCAGCAAACAGAAAGAACAAGCAGATTTTAGAGTACCAACAAGAATGAAGGCAAAACACAAAAATAGAATGGATGTGATGTTTATTTAGCTGGGGCAGGCAATGAAATCCCCTTTGCGCTGTCTTCTTTGATAGTCAGTGGGGGAGTCAAATTCTGATGAAATGGTACTGAAGTCTCAGCATTTTTTATTTTTTTTAATGGGCTCAAGTGTGAGTCATTTTTCAAAGCAGACCTGAATTTATTATCTTTTTTTACAGAAGCATCCGTTTGTATTTCCCCCTGCAAAACCTAAATCAAAACATGCTATTTTTAATGCTGTCTATTTATAACAGGAGTCCTGTTTTATCTCAGTTTAATTGCAACCTGAACGTTTGTCGGTAAGTTTTCATCAGCAGGCTTACACTGCTGACTGCACCACTGGTGTCTTAGTTGGAATACAGCAGCTCATTTGAGACATAAAAATGATTTCAAAGTGAAATATTTTCATCCTCCCTCTACATCAGCATTTTTGCAAGCTGCAGGCAACACACTGCATCTGCAGTGAATCATACAGAATGACGTTTTTAATGAGGTAAGGGGCAGCAGAAATATAAGGTATAATACAACAGTTCCATTCTAATGTTATATTCACCAGCACTTCCACCTTTCCCCAACCACATTAACTTTCATGCAGGAGTGGTCACGTTGGCTATGATTCAAATTAAGATGTAGAGTATTAAACTAGCAACGCCAGTTAGGCTGGCTGTGAACCCAGCTCTTGATGCTCGGAGGAAGCAATAGAAAGGTTTTGGAGAAGCAATCTCTCTCTTAACACAATAGTACTGCAATGCAGGACATCCATTTCCCAGACCATTACAAAACCAATTCTAAGTCTGTGGATTCTGGCAGAGAAAACGTACAGCGCTTGTTCCAATACGCCATCTGGACAGCATGGCTTGGTTGCCCATTGGTATGGAACTGACACACAACCATCCCACAGATACAGATCCATGGAGAAATGACCGGACATTTCTCAACTTCGTCAGCTAACAGAAAACAAAGGCTCTAGACCAGAAGAGAAAGCGAGTCAATTGCCTGTTAGAGGCACACAGTTAATGTGTACAAGAATTTCCAGAGTAATCCTCGGGTCAACATGTTCACTTGGCTGGTGATTGCACAAATATTTGACAAGACCCTTTTTCAATCTGAACAAATAAAGTGCTTGATAACCAATTCCGTGCTGGGCGGATATTAAGTTAAATGATCTTTTGTCTCTTACCATCGACGCAGGCTGGCCTTGCTCTCGTTGTACCGGCAATCTGTCCTTTTTTACATGCACAACGAGCTGTTTGTCGGGCTATAGTTCTTCGGGGCTGACTGCTATCTCTGTCCAGCGTAACAATTTCACATGTACCTGCAGCCAATTGACCTGGAAAAAGAACCAGCAACAGGTACCATAGTCACTGAATGCACCATAGCCACTCTATTACAGAAAAAAAAAAGGCACAATCCATTGTCGTAGCAGGCACACAGGCACTCCACAACAAATGGAAAACGAGCTTATGGATACAATAAGAAGAGAGGTAACCAGCATATTCTCCTTGTGCTAGCCAAATGAAAACTTTCAGTCTGGACCAGTCAGAAAACTATTTTCTATAAACGGTTTCATGGAACAAATCACTTTTACGTTGTTGAAAGAACTACTTTAGTAGTGATTAAAATAAAAGATGTATTTCAAGTACACTTGTGCAAGAAGCACAAAAGTATTCAAAGGGAAAAGAGGTATGTTAAGAATTACCTATCCTTTATCCAAAGCACCTGGAATCATGGATCCATATCTCCACAACTTTGGTGAAACACAGTACAGTTTAAAAATAACAAACTGCAGCCAGTTAAAAGCTTCATCATTACTCTGCTTCAATCTTATTTCTGTTACAAAACATCAGCATAAAATATGTAATTGCTTTAAACAATTCTAAGCAATAAGAATTACTCAGGAAATAAAATATCACCCCTTTCAACATGATCTTTTCCATAATATTTCTATATTACTGCTACTTTAAAAAGCAATAGGATTACAACTCTGAAAAAACATTTTAAGGCAAAAAAAAATATCGACAGAAAACCTTGTACAGGCAAACCCTGTTTTAGGCACAAAACATATGTGTGCGATCGTGCACATGTGCACAGCACTGAACACGGAAGCCACCTGGAAACATCAAAAAGATGTTACTAAAAGAGTGGAGCAGGGAGGGATGGGAGCGGAATGAGGCAGAATGTTTCAATTGCACACAATTTTGTGCAAGCACGCAATGACCCAGAACAAAACTCCAAGACAAATCTGGGGTTTCCTGTAGCGGCCACAGCTATGAAATAAAAAGGCGTGACACAAGAAAAGTTCGGGTAAAACATGGGGGCATGCTTATTTAAATTTATACAAATTATCTGCAGTGTGACTGTGTGGGAACCTCGTTTTTGGGTGAAGCCTGCCTTGCTACATGAAAAGGGGAATTGCCTTCAGTTCCACTACCACCCCTCTTTTATCAGTCCCACGCCTGAGGGTAGATAGGGAGGCCTTCTTGACCCACTCACTCTCAAGGGGGGTTAGTCCCCAAGGTGATCCTTACCAAGCCAAGAGTCCCCACAAACCTGGAAGGTTAGTCCCTGGTCTCGCCATTCACCATAAAGGTACCTAAAGATGCTCACCCAAAGTCTGCTCTGTGAAATTCCAACACATGGCTGCCCAAAATGGCCAACTAAATAGGGATAATGATAGGAACAGTGAAGTTTTGTTAGACCCCCTTCTTTCCCCAGGGCTACAACAGTTTAACAAGAAGGTATAGCAACTCAGGCTGTCAGTGGAACTTTTGCGACCGATGTCCCTACCATCTGACAAGGCTAAAATAAAAACTAGGTTGTGGGATATTGAGCGCCAGGAACTAACAGTAGCAGCAGAGAAAACATGTTCCCCTCTTTATTTTCAGCTTTCATGGGCACATGAAACTAACGACAATTAGAATTTCTGTTTAACCCTCAAGAAAGAAGGTCATTTTCGCTGGCCAGGTTTAATTCAAATCCATCAAACCTCCTTTGGGGAAGGTTCTCAGGCAGGGTGGAAGGAGAAAGAACTTGCCCATGTGAAGACCACCTGGTGGAAACCCTTACACATATGGTTCTTAATTGTAAACTATATGCTGATCTCCGTCAGCAATTCCTAGATCAACTCTGCATCCCCAAATGGAAACCAGAGTTGGAGATCATACATTTTCTATTACTGGGGAATGATCAGGAGCTCACCAAGTTAGTGGCTAAATATCTCTATTTGGTTTTTTGTTGTTGAAATACACTGCAGACGTCTGATCTCCCTGGAGACCTAGAGATGTGATGATAGACTACTCTGCCTCCTTTCTTTTAGCAAATGTTTTGTGCCACTGGGGAAGTGGTAATTCAGTATTGATTTGTTTTGGATGTTTGGATGCTTGGATGTGATGCCAATAAAAGGTTTGATGATGATGATGATGATAGGAACAACCAACCAATAGAACAACCCAATCAACCTAGTTCAGAAAGGCAAAGAATCAAAACAACACTAAAAGAAAGTGATGGCCAAACTTGGCCCTCCAGCTGTTTTGGACCTACAACTCCCATGATCCCTAGCTAACAGGACCAGTGGTCAGGAATAATGGGAACTGTAGTCCCAAAACAGCTAGAGGGCCGAGTTTGGCCATCACTGGCTTCCATAGTCTGTTTGCTCAGCTCCGCCCACCCTACACCAACACAATGTGTGGCTGCATGCTGCCTGGGTAACGCTGGGCTCAGTTCCCAGTGTGCACACAAAGTCCCACTGCTGCTGGAGCTCTCTAACTATGGCGGCTAAGCAGTGGTTGTTTAGCCAGGTTCATTTTTTAAAGAAGTAACTCCCCTCCTGCCGGTAAGCTTTAAAAAAAAACAAAAATGGAGGATGGCACTGTTTGTTTTGTTGCAGCTGCTAGATTGTAGTTTATGTCCTGGTTCTTAATGTAGAGCCGATAAAAACATAACTTTCCCCCTAAACAGGTGTTTTATGTTTGCCTCCTGCAAGAGAGAACAGAGCCCCCAGTTATTGGCTGATGATTGAATATATAATGTTAACTTTACTTATGTGAACCTGCACAGGCAGAATGCATTTAATCGTCGGGAAATCTGAAAATAGGAATGAAGTGCAGGTGCAGATACAGACGTAAACCGGATCGCACAGTTATGCTAATATCTGCAATACGCTGAAAGTTATACAGCAGCAGAAATTTGAATTTGCACAAGAACGTGAAAGAGCAGATACCACCTTTCTGGCATTTATAAGAACCCTCCATACTTGGGCAGAGGGTGTGTGTGCATTAAATACATTAAATTACAAATACAAGGTCAATAGTAGATGCTTCCCTAACCTTTCAGAGCAATCTGGAAGGGACATTGGGGAAGTGAGAGAGAGGGTTTCCATTGTGCAAACAGAAGCCCATTCTGCTAGTTCATGGACACTATTGGTTGTAACCCAATAAATATATTCTAAATATGGTTTCCATTTATGGTAATCTGAACACTTAACTTTCTCAGTGATGCACTTCTGTTGCAAATATAACGCTTTTTTAAATCATCAGGAATATGCTGCATTCTGTACCTGTGAAAATGTTAATCCCAGGCACCTATTGGCAATTGGCTGGAGGTGGCACTGGGTCTAAACCACAGAGCCTAGGGCTTGCCGACCAGAAGGTTGGCAGTTCGAATCCCTGTGATGGGGTGAGCTCCGTTTGCTCTGTCCCAGCTCCTCCCAACCTAGCAGTTTGAAAGCATGTCAAAGTGCAAGTAGATAAATAGGTACCACTCCAGTGGGAAGGTAAATGGTGTTTCCGTGCGCTGCTCTGGTTTTGCCAGAAGCGGCTTAGTCATACTGGCCACATGACCCAGAAAAACTGTCTGCGGACAAACACCGGCTCCCTCAGCCTGTAAAGCGAGATGAGCACCGCAACCCCAGAGTCATTTGCGACTGGACTTAACTGTCAGGGGTCCTTCACCTTTACCTTTAGAGTAAATCCTGCATGGCTGAAAGCAGTTTTGTCCCCTTGCAGGGAGGGATACCTTTGTTTAGTCATAGAAGGCACAACGAACATTGAAACGTTTTCTTACAGGATCCTATGCCAGCAAGAGGTTCTGTTCTGTTTGAACTTAGCATTCTAAGGTAAAGGTAAAGGTACCCCTGCCCGTACGGGCCAGTCTTGCCAGACTCTAGGGTTGTGCGCTCATCTCACTCTATAGGCCGGGAGCCAGTGCTGTCCGCAGACACTTCCGGGTCACGTGGCCAGCGTGACATCGCTGCTCTGGCAAGCCAGCGCAGCACACGGAACACCGTTTACCTTCCCGCTAGTAAGCGGTCCCTATTTATCTACTTGCACCCAAAGGTGCTTTCGAACTGCTAGGTTGGCAGGCGCTGGGACCGAACGACAGGAGCGCACCCCGCCACAGGGATTCAAACCGCCGACCTTTTGATCGGCAAGTCCTAGGTGCTGAGGCTTTAACCCACAGCGCCACCTGCGTCCCTACTTAGCATTCTAGAGACCTTTAAAAAAAAAAACTTTGTTTTATATTAATCTAGAAATGTATTTCTCTGAATTGCACATGCAGCCTTATGTTACACTCTCACACAGTAATTTCCCCCCATGTGCCGTCATCTGGATGCCTAGCAACACAAGCTCTTTTTATAACTCAAAATGTACAAAGGTTCATTTGACTAATTCGCTGCTAACAAATTTTACCTGCAGATATCACATCTGCTATGAAGAAGTGAATCCCAGTAGCCACTGTATAAAGGATTTTTGCAGATTTCCTAAGGAAGACTAAGAAGCATGCCTATAACATATATGCATGAACAACATATACACTCCAGAACAGAGGCTGCCAACTTGGGCTGGGCGATATCTGGTTTTCAGCATCATGATTTGTCACCAGCTATACATCACGATGGGACGCAGGTGGCGCTGTGGGTTAAACCACAGAGCTTAGGACTTGCCAATCAGAAGGTTGGCGGTTCAAATCCCCGTGATGGGGTGAGCTCCCGTTGCTTGGTCCCTGCTCCTGCCAACCTAGCAGTTCGAAAGCACGTCAAAGTGCCAGTAGATAAATAGGTACCGCACTGGCGAGAAGGTAAACGGTGTTTCTGTGTGCTGCTCTGGTTCACCAGAAGCGGCTTAGTCATGCTGGCCACATGACCCGGAAGCTGTACGCCGGCTCCCTCGGCCAATAAAGCGAAATGAGCGCCGCAACCCCAGAGTCGGTCACGACTGGACCTAATGGTCAGGGGTCCCTTTACCTTTTATACATCACAATATTCTGATATATCATCACATCTGATATAAGGATGGATTTATGTAGAGGCAAGTGGATGACTTCACAGTTTTC